CGAAAATGTCACATCCGGGATTATATCTCTATAATTTTCCAAAGTGGAAAACTCACAGCTAAAACGAATATGACAAGTGCAAAGGGAAAAATCCGATGAAAAGACACAGAATCTTCAGCTTTCAGTGGCTTTTGGGATTAGAGATTCAAGTTGAAAGAGAGGAAAAGAGAATCTCAGACATGATTTCGTCAGACTTCCCAAATGACCTCGTCTTCAGGGGATTTTCCTCCCTCGGACTCGAAGAGCAACAAATGATGACAGCGACTTATTTCTAAATAGCAAATTATTTGATATTGTTGATGGTATCGCGTTGCCCTTGTGATTTCTCCCTCCCGTGCGATTATCATTTATCTGTTGTATGAACTGTTTGGTAATTTTTCACTCTTGATTCACTGACTGAACAGCAATATTTCCCATATGTTATGATTTTATCCCTCCGCCATTGTGTCCTCGCGTGTGCCGTCTTTTGCTGCACGGCTCTCCTTTGCCGCCGAAGGACACACACTGACCACAATTGCCATTCATCCGCTCCCATATGTGACGATGTGTCGCACGGATATTATTATGTAAGTAATACCTAAAGTATAATTACGTGAACAGTAATTACACTGCACGACGTGGACATTTTCCTCCTTTTGCCGCTGCAGAACGCTCAGATGGTATTATTTTCAAATTACCACACCAGCAAATTGTGTATTGAGTTCTTTGGATGTGAGTGCCACACTAGAAACCCCCCGCATGCACTACGGGCTCTTCTGGGGCCGTGACGAAGAATTTACCTTTCCACCCCTCGCTCTGTGTACACAGTGTCACAACAAACCTTCGATAATGGACACATTATCCAGCCGTTTGATTATTCAGCACGTTCCGCGAATTTAATTCACCACATTCTCAATTGCATGGCCATTAAATTTGCATCACATCACTTTTGAACACTTTTGAAGCCTTGTCTCCCTCAATTTTTTCTATCCTTGCATTCTCGCCAGGATATCCGTATTTTCACTATATACAGGGAATTTTCCCATATAGCACTGATAGTAATTTGTATACGTGGAAATTTTTGTTCGATTGTTGTTCTCTTTGTGTAAAATACCACATAAGTTTACAGCACAGAAAGTATGATTATAATCGTATTAGAGTTGCTCTGATGTTAAATGTATCAAAAACATTTCCGAGATGTTTGTCGCATCAAGATGCAGAATTAGACTTTCTTCAGCACTCCAGTCAGCCTATCATAGAATCTTTTCTCATTTGAAATATGAGTAAAAACTATGATTTATTCAGTGAGGAAGAGCAGCAAAAATTAGATTTTGTCTCTGGAAAAATTTCCACTTAGCGGTTGATGCATAATGAGGGGAAAAGTGAAAATGCAAGTGCATAGAATATTTATTATGTTTTGACGACCTTCACCAATGTTCAAACTAAATATTTAACTCTGTGCCCAACCCCTAAAAATGTCCCTGAAATTTTAAAGTGAATTTCACCGCAAAATTCTACATTACATCCCGGCACGTGATTGAACCTGGTTTTTAGGGGTGAGTGAAAATTTTAAATGTGTGCCGAAAATCCGTCCATGGGTGAAGAATGACTTTCAGATTACTCGCGGTGAGAAATTTAGAATTCCATCATGTGCCGATGTATAAAATATGAATGGTGTTGAGCAAAAAAAGCGCATTCCTTTTCTGCACGATGGGAAAATCTGTGAGATGCTACACACTAGTTCCAGTATATTGATTTTATTTGCAATTTTCCTGGTCTTATTTGGAGCTGTTGCATTATGCAGTTGTATGGCAAATTCTACCCTTTCCTATTTATTATTCACGCATGCGAGGAATTAAGCACAATTAGCAAGGAAGATAGGTTTTGCAAGAAGTGAGAACACCTGCTGAAATCCACACACAGAGTCTATTTTCAACATAATTGAGATGCAAATTGCGAGCAAAATGCACAGGGAAAAGTATTGGTAGATAATAGCGCTTGACAATAGCGAAGAGCAATATTATAATCAATGGCCAGGATTATTTTCCGCCTGCTGAAACCACCACGTACCTAATTATTGCCATAATTAATTTATGTTCCAGCAGAAAATGGACTAACTAATGGGGAATTTCATGCCACTGGAATTTGTGCAGAAAAAAGCGGTACTGGAATTCAATCTCTCTCTTTCTGTCGGAAAATCTCGCGGAGCATGAGAAGAGCGGTGCAAAGTAAAACAAAAATCAGCAAAAGGATGAATAATTAATCGCGAAGAGTAGGTCTTTAATCTGATTGTGTGGTGATTTAACAATTTCTGCGAGATATTCCCCGGTATTGTTTCGCAGCTTTTTCCCAGACACTCTTTCCCATTTTCCATCTCGCTCGCCGGAGCTTTTCCTCCACCTCGCATCGGGTTCCAGGGATTTTCACGTGAGTTTCATTTTTTGCCTTCTCAGGTGAAGGGAGAACGATGGAATTTTCGGTGCAAGTGAGCTTCACCTTTGGCAAGAGGATGTGTGTGGAGCTTTTTGCGTCCCCTCGCAGGGAGCTTTCGCTGATAAACACCACCCTTAACGATCTCTGTCGACCCCTTCGCCGGAGTGAGTCCACCAGTGGTGCCCCCATGAAAGTCCATTGGACATTTTCCACCACTTCCGGCACTCCCGTCGTCCTGCTCGCGCGCACGCCAAAGAGAGATGGCTGGAGTGTGGATTTTCCCGCACTGGTCGGTTGCTCTCTGTTCCACACGCGCGACAGGATAGAAGATCCTAACATCAATGTTGGATGGTGTTTTCCACCAATCCTTAAATAAATGAACACGGCACAGGCGCTATGGCATGCCCGCCGCCGAGAGGTCCGCCCTCGTGACGATGGTGATGGCTTCGTGAGGATTTTCCCTCACTTGTCAGGGGTAGAATTCACCCCACAGCGAACAAGAAACAGGACCAACCTCCCGCGTCCGTCCTGGCCACGTTCACCCTCGCAATGTCTCGAGACTCAGTTGCAATTGTGGTGTCTTTCGAGTGAGACATTGTCAACAGCTCAAGAGTTGAAAAACCGTGCTGAAGTACTCAAGAGACTGGACAAACCGTCTCTTCTCATGGTGTGTGCAGAATTCCCATTCTCACTTTTCCGCGCGATTTGTGCTCATATCGACGTGGATATTCTCCACAAAACACCCTTTCATCCATCATATTTCTGTTCTCCTGTAGAAAAACTGCCCATTAAATGTCTCTCTCGCTCACAACAACCCTCTTCTCTATGAACAAACCCCTGAGAACAGCTGACCAGTACGCGAAGGATTAAGTGATTTTTAATTGAATAAAAACGTACCCGGGCAATAATTTGTGTCAGTGAGTCGCGACAAAATGTTTTTGAATAAATAAAATGATAAAAATAGGCTTTTTGGGCATGTTAAAATGCAATTTGACGATGGTGGTGAAAATTGAAAATAATTAATTGTCCTATGAATATTTCAGGCCCGCGACACGGAGTGTGAGGACATTTTTCCACATACACCCACGCACTCCTTCCAGGGGAAGATTTTTTATTCATATCAAAAGATTATGAATTTCTCACGAGATCTTGGCGCGAGGGAGTCAATCGGGCGGGGTGGATTTTGTTAAATTTTCAACACCACTAAATGTCCAAATAATTTCTTCACACCCGCACGAATGGGGATGAATTGGAAATTCGACTTGTGCAAACAAGTGGTCACGATCACCATTTTCTCCATGTAGATTAATTACCAGCCCTTTTGCCTCCGCCACACGGGAAGCTCTCGCGAGAGTGGGGCCGAGGTGTGAAAAGCCACCCCTCAGCCATGATTGATTCATTTGCCGAGTGACGACGAGCGATATTTTTTAATTTGCTGTCGCATTTTCTACAATCTGTCGTGATTTTTCGCGTGTTCTCTAAATGAATTTTTCCAACCCCTCCCACTGTCCAGATGGGGCTCAATGGAGCATGCAAGACACCAATCAAAAGTCTTTCAATTTTGTGCGGTTATGCAAAGTGGCGCGAAACGACGTTGACTGGAAAGATGAAGCCACGCGCTCTCTTTGAGCTTTCATTTTCTCAGAGATGTAATTTATGAGGTGTTTTGCATACGCGATCCCTCGGATAAGTCACCACATCACACACAGCGTCTTGGGCGTGGAGAAACTTCCCGGGTGAAAGTAACAGATGCAAGAGAAGTTGTGGAGCTGACGATGCAAAAAAGCGCCGGGTCTTGCGCGCAGATAAATTATTAACAGGACAAAAATAGTTTAAACTGTTTTTTACCGACGGTAGAGAAACTTTTCAAAGTTCCTTTTAACTCTCATTACACCGTTCCATCCGCACACCCTCAGAAGAAAGAGAGCGAGAGCTTTTCGGGGCTTGAAATCTTGCTGCAACACTCACTCGAGGTTGTAAATTACTTTTGAGTTTTTCTCGCTCGCTTGCCATCGTCTTTGAGACAAATTCTCTGATGGAGATAAATTCGACTCCCCTTTTACGTGTGCTTCAATTTCAAACTTGCACAACTTTTTTCACTTTTTCTACGACTTCGTCAAAGCTCCCACTCACTTTGGACATGTGGCACTTGAGAAGTTGTGCAGAGCGAGACATTTAATGGGTCTTTTTTTCTCTAAATTGAATTCTAGTGAAAGCTTTCTTCGCTCAAAACTCAAATGCATCCCATTGAGCATGAAGACCACAAACAAGTTAAGAATTGACTCTTGAGAATCGCAGCGAAAGACACTGAACGCCTTTGAACATTTGCGGTGGTGGAAAATCACCCTGAAAAGTGGTGATTAGTTTGCGAAGAGACACAGTGGTCACAGTTGCTAAGATAAGGCAACACAGAGACTTTTCTTCCCGCCTGACGGTGGGTGGAAAGTAGAGAGAAGTAAAGGACAAAAACCAGCTAAGTTGTTTCCTGTGTGTGCCAGCGTTGAAAAAACTGACTCAAAATTTACTCGCCGACGCCATTTGACGCCGCCAAGGCGTTGAAACTCGAAGAAGACTTCACGGGCGGCTGTATGACAATGTCCATGTATCCGTCGCCCGATAAGATGAAGATGGGAACGCCAGGCTGCTTCCCTGGGCGCTACAGTCCCTCTTATCGGGGTCCTGACCAGATGAGGAGATGCATGACGAATCCATCGGTGAGTTGAAATACTCAAATACATTTTAACAATTTTCCACACAGCTTTTAATTGTATTTAGTTTAGTTTAATAGCATCTCTGCAAGTATTATTCTACATATTGAAGTCTTGTCTGATTTTTCCGATTTTTCATTAAGAATTCATGAATATTCACAACAGATAACATCTCGTGTCTCTTCTCCTGACGGTCATTTTCAATGTTAAGTGTCACATTTCCCAAAAGGATCCGTCGCGAAAAGTTATGTAAAACGCCTTCAATGTTGACAAATTAAATCTAAATGCTTGGCTTAAGTGCAAAATATGTGGATGACGTCAAATAGACTTGAAGCGATGATAACAGCACAGAAGATATCGGAAAAGACCTTTGATATGTAAATTTTCTTGCTCATGCAAAGATTTCCTCTGCCAAGTTTTCAAGCACTTATTTCGATGAATTATTAATCACAAGTTGATGCAAATCTTTCACTGCTCCTGTCGTTTTTCGCCTCTCATCTTTGCACTCTTGTTTTTCAGCTGCCCTCGCCTCTATGTGACATTTGTCACTAGGAATTTCCTTTTTATGTCGCTTGATTGTCTCATGGAAGATAAAAGAGAAGCACTTCCACCTCCGAGTGATGGCAAATTTCATCACGAAAGGGACAAAGAAGGTGGAGAGATTTTGGGTTGAGCTGTAAAAAATCAATCTATTCCATCTATTCACTCAAAGCGATATACACCAATTAGTTCAATGGGATTTATTTGGCTGAAGGAAGTCTCGAGAGACGAAGGAGAAGTCCTAAATCGCTTCGAGTCACTCTAATTGGGATCTCTTAACTTTTCCCAAAAATCCATTCCATTAATTCACCTTGAGATATCCCTTCATGAGATCGTGAATTTTCCAAGGTGCCTCTCTCCCGTGTGATTAGGACAATTTGTAGCTTTCATCTCATCCTTGTAATTCGTTTAATTAAAATCTGATCCCCTCGCTGAGGAAAAGTTTTCAAGGGTTGCAAACGAATGGGAGTTTTGGAAAATGCTGCGTATAACAAATGATTCTAATTGCAATCTTTATGATACTGTCAGAATGTGTTTTAATTTACTGTCAGATGATAAATAATATCTTTTAAATTTGTGGCTTGCTGATGGTTGTAATTTGTAAGTTTCCCCCTTTTCATTTAACCACTCATTTAGGCACACAATGAAGGAGATTCTTCGCTCTGTGCGGGCGGCAAAGTGCAAAATTATAGCCAACAGCAATTTAAGGCGTGGCAAAAATTAATTTCACCTCAATTTTGAAGTGAAATTTCACATCTACTTCCTCCCGTTTCTGTTTTCTTTTGAATTTTCTCGTACAAACGAGGGAGGAAATAAAAGTTGTTGGAGGCTCCATTTGTTCTCTCACATTTAGTGGATGAAATAAAATTCCCAAGTGGTGGCGGGCAAATCTCAAAGGGATTCCGTGTATGGATTTAATCGCATCACACAACCACTCATACATCGCCTGTGCCATTTGAAACTCCCAGCGCTTCGAAGCTCATCTCTCTTCTCAATTCCAAGACGATATCCATCCCCTTTGTGCTCCCCTTGCATACGATTTTCCCTCGATATCCCGGCCCTCCCTGAGCGTCACATCTGGTGGCGCATTTGGGATGATCTAGAGAGAGCGATGGAAGAAGTACATATGCTTTATTTCGTCCTCATGCCATTCGTGGGGAGGAAGTTTATCCCAAAAATAGGGATCAAACATCAATAACGCCGCACTTCTCGTGCGCCACCACCTATTTTTCCATAATGTTCTAAGGAAAGTGCTTCCGAGATTGTATGAGACCACAATTTTATATTTCGAGGGGATGAAAGTATCTAAAGTCACATCCTTTGCTGTTGTTTCAAGTTCCACCTCAAAATTTCTGCACACAGAGAAATATTTCATGGCACAAATGCACAGAAAGAAAAAATCTATTGAATGAATTGTGGCAATGTTTTGTTAATTTTGATAAATAAAATAATCAAATTATACCACCAAAAGCATCACTGAGAAACAATTTTACTATACGAAAATTTTTCTTTCTGTGGGCTCACAAATCATGGCTTTTAAATCACTTTTAAAAACCACAAAATGTTATTGAAAATGTGTTTACGTTAACACCTGATTATTGCATGATTAAGGAGGCAATTCTTTCAATATGCAGTGGATACATCCCGTTGAATAAATTATGTGTGATTGCATAAATAAATGATTGAAATTGCACAAAAATCCATAATCAAAAGAGCTATTGAATTCAAATTGCCGTGAAATTTAATTACAAATAATTTAAAATGAATAGAGACATTTTTAATGTGTGCTTTAAAAGCCTTTTACGAAATAATGCACAAGCTGTAAGTGATAAGTTATTGCTGATATCATGATTGAATTTTTCCGTGTGTGATTTAAACGCTGTGGATGATCTTCTACGTGTGTCGATAAAGTGCTTAAATATACTTCGCGGTGACTGATGAAAATTATCCCTGGGCGCCGGGGCGCGTTCGCCGAACGCCATGCATAAAAGATAAATTGATGACAGATTGAAAACAAGAATCATGGTAAGAATTACATGAATAATTCTCATTTTTCCGCCACCAATTGAATAATCCTGGCGCGCGCGGAAAAAACATATTCAAAGAACATTTTTTAGCATTCAGCGAGGTGGAATTTCTTCAGAAGTGATTAATAGTATTTGAAGTGAGGGTGGAATAATATACCCAAGCGCTTCCTTTCGTCTCTGAAGTCACGATGTCAGGGTGGCGCTTGAAGGGGCATTTTTCAGAAAAAGCAATAGAGGGACAAGGCAAGAAGTATCGGGGTCGAATATGACCGCATACACTTGCTGCCATTCCCACACCAATCAAGTATTAATGATGGAAAAGTGTCTTCACCGTGTGTCTGTAAAGTGAAAACGCTTCAATATTAGCAATTGAAAAATCCAACATTTCCACCGTTGTCCATTTTGGAGTCATCCTACTTGCGTGGGCATCACTGATGACTGTCTGTGATGTTGTATTGGGGAGAATGTACAACCTCTTCTGCGTGGATATGATTATTTATAAAATAGCCTATGTAAAAACTTCACTAAACCTCTCATTTTATAGCTCGTATATGGCTTTTATCGTCTCTCGTGCTCTGAAGAGCCAGCAGAAGTGGTGTGAGAGAACAATTACGATGTAATTATTGTACTGAAGTCCAATTGAAATTTCCCTCAATTAAGTGTACATAATGCCGCATTATTTTCTCCACGGAAAGGCGCACCGTGGAAAAAGGCAGAAACTCTGATGCAATTCATTTGATAATTTCCCTCCCGTGCCTTTCCAGTGAGCGACTGAATTATAAATTTTTCCGCCTTGATCTTCCAATCGCGGACAATAAATTACCTGTAGATCAATTAACGATATAAAAGTTGATAATTGAACTCAAAGATTCATGATGTATTAGATATTTATGTGGACGTTATGTGTCTCCAGATAGAAAAGGGTTAATATGTAGGGAGAAAAGTGTGTGTGTGTTTTTGCAGATTTTGTTACATTTCATGCTGTCTTCTAGTTTAATTTTCATCAAGTACACAATAAGAAAACTTACGCAGGAGAAGTAATTTCACCACCTCATGTATAATATTTTCCAGAAAACCCAGCAAAGATGTGGAATTGATTGAGGCAGAGATCCAGAGATGGAAAAATTGTGAAAAGTCGATAAATAGATACGAAATGAAAACGGGCAGAATCAAATATTTATGAATTGAATTGTGCAAGGCAGTTGAGAGTGGATTTTTAGAGTACGATGAATTGCTTTCCTCGCTTCTTTTTTTTCTCCTCGGCGCTCTTATTGTAGCAATTTCTTCGTTTTCCCTCTCTCGTGCTCTTAGTTTTCACAATCTTCCGCCAATGACGGAAAACAAGGGCGAAGGTCCGGGAGTATGAGAAGTTCATTGGGAGAATGTGAATTTCTTCCTTGCATTCGCTATTCTCTGAGGCATTTTCCGTCCAATGTATTTGGTTGGTTCGAAGAATTGTCGATGGGATTGCGGAGCAGTGGATTTCTTTGGAGGAAAGAGAAGCCAACATACACTCTGGGAGGAAACGTAATTTGATTTTTATTCGCACATTTGCTAACCTTTTTTATTTCCCCATTTTTACGACATTGTTATAGGGTCGTATATGGGTAGAAATTTGGTTTTAAATTGCTCACCCAACAGCGAAGGGGAAATTTTCGAGTCGAGATATTGGAAGAAAATTCATAGCACTTGATTTGTTTGAACAAGAAAACATCGAAATCTCAAACATTATAAATTATACCCTCTTCTGGGTCTAACTGTAGAAAAGAAAATGCACCGTTTTCAGGTTATGCTCTGGTAAAAAAAGTAGCACGTGAAGTCGTGAAAAAAATTAATATTTTCCATTTGATAAATTAATTCGCTTTAATGCGCCAGGCTTAATTGCTTCAGTGGCTCTCTGAGGAATTTTACGATGATAATTTCTGATAATGACGAGCGAAGGATAATGAAGGAAAGTCAATTCGGAAGGGAAAACGTACTTTTTCATCCTCCCCACACTTAGCTTTCCAACTGGTAAATGCTGCCAGAGTGTGAGATACTTTGTCTCTATCTGATGCTCTCTCTCATTAATATTAGCATTATACAAAAAGCTTTTAGTAACATTACTGGCATTATGGAGGACCCTCTCGCACTAGACTTGTATTATTAGGATTTTCGGGTGCGAGGGGAGGCGGAAATCGATTATTATTAAAATCCCAAACCCCTCTTTTTCCACCTTCCGCACAAATACTCACTATTATCGCACACCAAGGCTCATCACCATTAAAATTCATTTTATTCTTTGGCTAGCACAGGAAGGGCTTTCGAAAGCTTTCACTGGGAATTATCAAAGCACTATTTCCTCCTACCATTCACTGGAAGATTAACTCCCATTTTGAATGTTGTATCATCATGAAAGCAAATGAAAAATATCGGTCAATTAATAGAAAGTAGAAATAATTTTCAATTTCTCCTATTTCCACTAAGGTTAAAACCATCCAGTGGTCACATTTAATGTAATAAAGTCGATTGTGGCTTTCCATATCGTGTGCTCTAATGTTACGTCCATCTGAAGGGCTAATAATGTAGCTTTGTAAACACCACCAAGTCTTCTACATAGACATTATTGTATGAAAAGTACATTAACAATTATTTAAAATTTTAAACTGAACCAAAGCATTATTTATTTGTAGAAGTATAAAAAACAGGGTTAGAAAATTGAAAAACTAAGTTAGGAAAATTCGGATTATGGTTATGACATTACTAAAATAAAATATTTAAACCGATCTTCTACTTTTATTTTTCTAAATATTATAATTACGTATATTGTATAGCAAATTCATAACTAATGATCCCTTTCAGGCTTTGCTCTCCCTTTCCCTGAGTTTTTGGAAAATCTATATCGCCACAGAGCATTTCGTTTGGACTTACAATTGTATAGGGAGTTTTGATGGTAAATTGGCCAATAACACTTGAAATATATTCGATTGGAGTGGTTTTGGGGTTGTGGTAAATGCTTTGTTTTCCTTTCCTCTTCTAATTGTTTTACTTGCCATTCACCATTGCAGTATTATTACAAATAAATTTCACGACAGTCCAAATTACTCTGAATTCCCCTCGCCAACTCCTCGTCTAGACCGGGGAAAACCATCAGGATAGGCAGACCAATTCCTGGCTGAATGTTCAGTGGTTAAAGCTTCAGGAAGTTTCGGTGCATAGCATGTTGGGAGGAATATATTGTCGTATGCCCAATTCATTGATCTGATTTTCCCTCTGGGGCCGCTTCGAAGGGGATCAATTGAATTTTGGCATTTGGACCCAAATTAAATGCAATTTCCAAGTCCTATTGCGCCATTGTAACTCATAATCTCATTTCAGCGTCCCTCCCGCAAGCACACTATTGAGTTTGGAATTGTGTGACGATTTTTATCAATATTGCAGCAAGGACGATGTTCAGCACTGGGCGCTTGTTGTGACCAGTAAATTTTTACTACCCAGTCTGACTATACAAATGCCAGGGCATATCAGAAGTGTGGAGGAAAAAAAAACATTTTCCACGGTTTGCTGTTAATAGAGTTGTCCCAAAAGTGATGAATAAATACAGTGCTGGGTGTTTAAGGGAAGGTGAAAAGAATTAGGAAAATGCGCACGGAGTGTGGAGGGAAAATTTTCGGGGAAAGTCGGAATGGAAATGGCGACAACTGGGCGATCGATAGTCATGCCGTCGTGTATGATTGGTTGTGGGGCGGAGATAGGGCGATTTTCTCCGCATGGAAAAGTGTGTAGGGAAAACGAGAGAGTGAAAGAGAAAATGTAAGCATTTTCCTCAGTGTCACTGTATTTGTTCACGTTCTCCCACTTTCTGCTTCACTTGAATTTCCCACTCACAATTTCTTGTGCTTGCATTTTCCTTGCGTATTTTTGCTCTATAGAGAAGAGAATAATATTTTTACTAAATAGACTTAGGAAGTCGGTTAAACACATAAAAATACATAAAATATTATCGATATGATTAAATCTAAAGCTCTTTCTTCTTTGCGGTTTTCTAGGAAAATCGACGTTTTTTTTTACTTTTCAAAAACACAAGATGATGCTGTAAAAACCTCTCACTCACTTGGTGGAATAAATGTGGCATATTTTCAATTTACTTTTACTGGTTTTACTCTGCTTCATGAAGTGTTCTCTCTTGTTAAAACCCATAAATACACTCTGTAATATAATCTGATTTATAATTCATCTTCGACATCGCGTGATGCAAAACGAAAACTGGTTTAACTAACAATTACCAACACAGGTATTATGTATATATAGGCATTGGGTGGGTTGATTTTTGGGTGGCATAGCGGCTCAAACCACATTAGTTTGGAAAATTGTGTGCATGAAAAGAAAGTTGTTCGTCGTTCAAGGAAAAACCGAAGAGACACACCACCAATTTAATCCTCTCGATATTCCTCGAGCCTCGTGTTTTCCACCACGGAGACTTTCCTAAGACTTTAATAGTCACTTTGATGGAAGTTTTCTTTCTCCAGGGGTGCCTCTCTGCCCATCCTCTCCCGCTCTTCCGCACCAATCCACGGAAAAGCATGCAATTTCACATGACACCGAAACGCTTATTTTCCAACTGACACACAAGTTTTTAATGATCGGTAAATTTTCGAGTAAAGAACCTCGTCTCAAATTACACGTCTTTCCTTCTCTCTAAGTGATCATCAATTTTGAAAAGCATTTTTCGTAGAAAATTGTTCAATCACACGCGGTACTTTTTCCAATTTTCTCCACGCCGGTGGGCATGGAAATTACACAAATTCAATTAAAATGTGTTGAGAGGGAGTCATTTAAATCACATTTTGAACTCTGCCCGCTACTGTAAAATCGTTAAATATTTGTGAATGAAAATTCAATGAATTGTTCCAGCTGCACACTACTCAAATCCAATTATGAATCCTAAACCAAGACCTCTAACACAAAATAACATGCGCCCATACCCACGTGAAAAGTGCGCCGAGCGACAAATGTGGTGAATTTTTAATGATCACGATAAATGTCGCTGTTTGGGACCCAACACTGGGCATGCCTTAATGATCCTCTGCGGAGAAAGAGTTGCAAGATCAACAGACATTTTGTAAATAAACAATTCATCACTTATTTATTAATGTAATGCTAACGACACGTTTAATTGATTAGGCAATAATAGTGTGGCGAAGGGGTTGAAAGCAATGATGATGTTTACTTTTTTTCCTCTATTGACACACTCATACTGGGAAAAGAGAAACTTTTCCACGGAAGGCCTAATGAAATTCTTCTCTCGCGCGCCCCAACATTAGCGTCATACCTCGCGAAGTCATCTTTGAGGATATTTATTCCCTCTTTAATCCTCTGTGTCTTAAAGCCTCTTGAATTTTGAATAATGCATTAATCACTCCTCACTTTCACTCCCCTTTTCTATTTTCTTCTACTTCCAGAGTCGATTATTAGAAGACGCTTCGATAATGTGTAATTCGTGGTCTCCCAGGCATAATGTGAGTGTCTTTAACATTATCATAACCTAAGCATTGCTATCTGTGTTTTGGGGATTATATTCTGACATTTGCGTGCATTTGAAAATATCAAACAAAGATTTTTAATTCAATTAGTAGACATCGCCACAAGGCAGGAGAAATTGTGGGAATTGCCCACGTGATTACCTGCGATGTTCGCATATGTTTCCTTTTTCCACCCCTCAACCACTTGTCCGCTCAAGAGGGTGAATCCATTCACGAAACTTCAGCGTAAATCCCACCAATTTCTGGAGGAAATGTCTAATTTATCGCCGAAGAGGGTGGCAATGGTGAAAAAACCACAAATAACTTCCGGTCACGTGCAAATGACCGGGACGAATTAATGAAAGACATCGCGACAGGTTGAACCGCAAAAGAACAGCGAGGGAGACTTCAAGCAGGGGAAATATGGCATATTTGAAGAGTTCATTGTCTATGTTTTCGCTTGGATTTGAAAAATAATGACATGGAAAAGGGCGATAAAATCTCCTACTACTTTTTCTGCAACATTTCTTATTTTGTTGCAAGAGATTTTGCAAAAAACAACATATTAATGTTTGCTACTATCTTGATTTGAGCAAAAGTGTGTCACAAGCAACTATACAATGAAAGATGATGTAGTGCGGAACAGATGGAAAATGAGTGAAATATTGCCGAAAGTGTTATAATTAATAGAAAATGAATAATTGAGAGATATTGAGGCAGACTTGCTCCAGACACTTCATCAATCTAACGAGGAAATTGCCTTCCGTACGTGTGTGTTTGTCGCATGAGCTCTTCAGTGGGCGGAAAATCACGAAATTGCCACTGGGATGGGGGGAGGAAATGGTAAAATGAAATCGTCTTACCTCATCCCCATGGCGCAATATTGAAGCATCCGAGGAGCTTTCTCAAAGCTACGCACTTCCATGCGATTATGAGACTCAATCCTTCATCACATCTTCCCCCAGCATCGCAGCATTAATCAATAATTCCGACCCGAAATCTCACGGCGGATCCTGAAATGCATTCACCTCATGGCTTCGATCTTGGGGGATTTTCCATCCTGCTGCGCCGGGAGCTTCCCCCAGACGTGCCACTGGCATCTTTTCGGGGCGGTCATACATGAAAGCTCATAAGATTTCACGTGAAAGCACACACACACACACAGGCACCAAAGAGAGAGAGATGTTAGATTGGTGAGGGGTTGGGAGCGAGTCGGCCTTATTAAAAATTGGCCAGACGTCTCATAAATATTTCACGGGGCGTCCGCTACAGGAGCACCCCTCAACCGTTTGAATGATGGATGACGAACGATGTCAATTTTTAACACCCCGCGCCGAAGAACTTCTCTTTCGTTCACCCCCTCTCACATGCACACATCGCTCCTTTTCCAACATCCATCCCTCAATGAATATTCTGCCGTGGCGCAAGTGTGGGGCCCTGGGAGGGAAAAGACACATGCCACACTCTCGCAGGCTTTTTTAGCAAACACCACCCAGCGGGGAGGCGAGTGGGCCGCCCGAAAAATGGGGCCCCTGGCGGAGAAGACATCCCCAGGGGTGGTGTGAGGGTGGAAAAAGGAAAACAAGAACAATGTCAACCAACTAATATTCACATATGAGAGACACATCCCTGGGAATTTTATGTAAACATTGTAATACACGATGTGTCGCATATCACAAACTCACATCGAAAACACACACAATGGAAGTGCCCTGGGGTGGTTGAAGAGGGTGATTTGTTGTGCCTCGTTTTCCCAACATTTTCACCTGATATGTGAAGGCTCAAGTCGAGACTCAAGTGGTGTTTTCCCATTTTTAGGACAAAAGAACCCATTGAGAAACAGAAATTCATACGCGACACGTGGAAAAAGGGAGTCCGTCAAAGTTAGTTTGGGCTGATTTAAGACATTTGCCAAATTTCAATTTTAGAATGAAAAAATAACTTCCGTATTATTTTCTCTTAAATTCTAACCTTCCTCCCAAGCCTTTGGGAAAATATTCAAGTCGTCATCAAGCAATAAGTGGAGGGAAAAATTGATGGCTTATTTCCCGAGGGAGAAACACCTTATCATGACCCAATGGTGAAGCGCACTTGAAGGCGAAGCGGGGTAACTTCCGTGTTGGGGTGTGAAAATCAAAATAGAGAAACATGTGTGGCGGTTGATTAACGATTTTTCCGTGGTGTCTCAATTGCAGGGTGATATCTTTTCGGGACTGAACGATGGCATCCTGAGTCGAGCCGAGGCTCTGGCCGCAGTTGACATCCAGAAGCACCAGAGCAGTCATGCTCACACCCAAATGACCTCGCAGCTCAAGCACGACGTCATGTACCATCACGGCATGGGTGGACCACCGCAGAGGCCTCTGCAAGTGAGTACACAAATTCCCCCAAGCCGCCAATTTGCCCGTGCATGATAAATCAATTGACAATGAGAAAATCGCTTAACTAAATGAACAACCACTCGAGATGGGATTGTAATTTCAATTCTCATTACGACTTACGTCGAGCCGCCTCGCAAGACACGTGACCGCTTTGGCACGTGTCAACACCCTCGAGACTCATCGCGCAATCACAATTTCGGTCATATAGGAAAAATAAACCCACGGCCAAGCGTATCGCGTGAATTGGGATAACAGCATGACATGAGAATTCGGTGGGAGTAATCATTCCTCCACTGGCTGTACCGCACTGTCCTAAATGGCGACACTAGGAGCAAGGGCTTTTCCGAGTTCTACCATGCAATTTCCTAGAGTGCATTCGAAGGCCAGGAACAGTGGGCAATTTGACACTGATAGACATACAAAATGGTAATTTTCCAACCTCTTGCTCTGTGTTTTTCCTGTCCAGAGGAGCAATGCAGACGATCTTCAGGGGGAAAAGAGTGTCACCCACCCTCTCGTGAGGCGTCTCGCAATCATAATGCAACCATCACTGGCAACGACACGTGACGGATAATTTGATTGGTAACAAGTGAATTAACAATTGCTCAATGCTGTTTATATTAACTCACACTCTCACTCTCCATTTTACAACTCCAGTGATGTTTGTAGTGCGACGCCCACCCACCGAATGATATTTGACGATATGCCCATATTGAGCAACATTAATGGGAGATTATGCAAATCTCTTTTTAACCTGATTGATGGTGTATTTTGTGCTATATCAAATAACACCCATGTATCAATGGCTAATAAAATTTTCATCCCTTTTTCCCATGTAGTGGAGCACATGAAAAAATCGTCACATAAAATGTTATATTGATTTCACAAAAGTCCTCCCACTCTCAATTCCACTTTGTCGACAATCATCAATATCAATTGCATAAGAAGTACACATCTAGTGTGATGTGGGACAGAGAAAATAGTGGAGAAAGCCATGAAGTGGAGCCACGACTGGAGGGGAATTTCTGTAATCCAATAAATATTGATTCCGTCGGATAGAAATAAATCTACCCCGGGTGGAAAAATAGTAAAAGAGTCAGGCGGAAAGGTGAAAAACTCGTACATTTCCTCTGGGGTTTTGGCTTCTTCTTGACCAGCAAAATCCCAAGACCGCCCTCACAGCTGCACTTTGCGTTTCAATTTCCCCGAAAAATGCCAAAACGCCGCTCCGTATTGACTGCAGTGGAACTTTTATGTAACTCGAGGGTTGCAAAACAATTCCCTGGGCAATCATATTTTCAGATAAATTTCACATTATGTCGCACACAAGGAGGGATGATTCCTTGGGAGGGTGGCCAAATTGGGATATAATTTGCTCCTTCTCCCTCCATTCTGTGGCTTTCTCAATCAATCATTCGCATATCACAAAAAATTCTTTTCTCTGTCTCAACCCGAATGAAGGAGTGTATAAATTACGCATTAATTAGTTCTATATCTGCGGTGTTCTTGAAATAAAACAGATCAAAGCTTAATCACCCAGAAAATCCGCCTTTAAGCATTTTCCCGGAAAAATGCCATAATTAATAACAAACAATTCTGGTGGATTGTTTGACAAACGCTTCGTGAATTGTGTCTCAGTCTGTGAGTAAAAGAACCTTTCGGGAGGGAAAACGCTTCATCTTTTATCCCATAATTCTGCATTAAATGGACTGAAGTCAATTTTATGGAAGATATACGACCGCATAGGGTCGGTCGACTCCGCCCCAGGAATTCAGAGTGGAGAAATAAATTTTTATAGCCGAAGAGATAAAATCAGGGGAGAATAATTCCACCTGCACCTGTCAGTGTTATAGAATATCACTTAAAAAGCCAAATATTGCTCTCTCTCGCACGATTCTGGAGGGGGATGCGCGAATACAGCCCGTGGTGTGGGTGAGAACAAGGAAAATCGAGAAAATATGTTAGCATAACAGAAATTATACTTTCTCCCCTTCCTGGTTAGATGGGCAATCATCTCGATGTCGCAAAAGTAGCACATATTTGCGACAAACACGACAATCATATCAATAAATCATGCAACTACACACTTCTGTCCATGCTTCTCAGAGGGTTGTGAGCCCTCTTTTTGGCCACTGCAGCAAAAGGGATGAAATGATTTGCCGCTCGGAACGCCCTTCAAATTACAAAACAGCAAAATCATAACAAGAACACTCTTTTCCCCTCCATGGGCGCGAGCAAAGTGTACAGAAAAGGGTTTTGTTCCCATAATTTTTTATTGCTGATGCACAGCATCTCTTTGCAAATAATATTTAACGCAATTTGTTCGATGAATGTTCCACGTCTCACCCTCTCTTGTATGTTTTCGGGTGTAATACTATTTAATGCATTAACAGATGGTTGAAAGTGAATGTTCATCGACGGATTAACCCCTGTGTTTCGCCCTTTACGACACTGCACAGATAATTCATCTATAATGGATTTTTCTCCTCCTTTTCACGGCAAATACGGAAGATATGTCACAAATTTGCACTGAAAACGAGATTCCAACTGCTCTTGCTTTGAGAGTCTCAACCAGGAATAGTCTTCAAAGAAACGAGCGAATATTGTCCCAACAATCCAAACAGAAGACAATAATTTCGTGCAAATATCATTATCTCTAATTCATTGATTTCATTGCCATCAATTCACTCTGAATTGTTTAAACTCCATCCGACCACGAGAGGGTGAGACAAAATGGTAAACTGCGAAGACAAAGAACTTGCCAACAATTGGGAGAAAATTAATTTACATGGAGTCAATCATTTGTTGATATTTACCAAATTATGGGTGAATTCCAGTCGAGTTCTATAAGCAGCACAAAAGGTCCTGATGGATGTCTAAATATTTGGTCACAGTTCGCATTTGCAACATTTCCAGAGAATGGCCATTGATGAAAGTCACAGGAGCTTGGGAACAGAGTTGAAACACTGCAAAATTAAAAGTTTCATCGAATTTAACTACATACGGTTTATGGTAAAATTCTAAGGAACATCGGGGATGATTTTAAAATTAAACAATCACAAAATCTAATTACACTGTTCAAATATCAAACGAAATCTTATCTCGAGGCACTTTTTTCCCCGTGTTTATCCACGACGAACCGTCTAGCTGAGGAGAGAGAGCGAGTTTAGATAGGCTGGTACCGTGTATGCGAGTGCCGGCAGAAAAATAGCAATCCCGAGAGAAGTTGGTTGAATGTTAAATAAATTGCATCTCGCGGCTATTTGTGGTTTTTCCCGCGATTGAACTGCAGCGCGATTCCATATCTTATCGTTTCGAAGTACATTTTCCACCCCCTGAGTGGACTTTGAGGTGAGCCTGAGAGAAGAATCTTGCTCGTTTCCAGATGCACCACACAATGGATGGCCTCGATATGCTTGATCCCGCCAGCTCCATGACAACCCTCACGCCCATGTCCGACACGCCAATCACCTCGTCGCACCATCAGCTCCATGGCTCGTACCATGGCATGAACCACATGATGGGCCACCATCACGGGGGCCCGCTGAGCGGGCACACGACCGGTGAGTCAGAAAGCCGCGGCAAAAGTCCCCAGGGCGTCCCTCTGTGGCAAGAGAGAAAATTCTGGGATTCTCTTCCAGGACACCACGGACACCCCGGGGCCCATCATCCCGCCATGGCCGCCGCCGTGGCGGCAGCCGGCCTCCATCCCGACACCGACACGGATCCTCGGGAATTGGAGGCGTTCGCGGAACGCTTCAAACAGAGGCGGATAAAATTAGGTAAGTCTACAACTCTGGTTTGACACTTCTTCTTCTCTCCCTCTCACAGTCACTTTCGTCACAGTTGGACACAGTTGACCAACAAGAAATTATTAAATTTAATTTGATCAGTAACTATTGATAGCGGTATGAAATTACTGACTCACTCGTCCCTAGTAATGAATAATACTATGTAGTTCCCTGTGTACAGTTAGTCCGAAAAACAGAAGAAATAGATTTATTTCAAAGAATCTGACTTAGAATCACCATGAATTGCGTTTTCATTTGAACATCTCAATCTATTTAAAGCCACCTCTCAACTCTGACTAAGAATATTTAATGGACTTTGCAATGTAATTTCCGGAAATACATCCTTCTCGGGAATTCCCTTCCTTCCAAGTGCATTTTTCCTCATTTCCTATTCATCTCCATTTCCTCCCCTCATTACAATGCAGAGACGCAGTTGATTTTTCTCCCCCGGAAAGCCGTTTGGGGGTGCTACTGAAAATTGTTATAATTACCTTCGATCGATTTTCCCCTTTTCTCTCTACTGAAGGTGTAACGCAAGCGGATGTGGGGAAAGCTCTCGCTAATCTGAAACTACCCGGCGTCGGAGCACTGTCGCAGAGCACCATATGCAGATTCGAGAGCCTAACGTTGTCACACAACAACATGATTGCACTCAAGCCCATCCTGCAAGCGTGGCTCGAGGAAGCGGAGGCGCAGGCGAAGAACAAGAGACGAGATCCCGATGCACCCAGTGTCTTACCAGCTGGAGAGAAGAAGAGGTAGGCAAAGTGTCCACGTCGAAATCATAGGAAAATCTCCATTCCCCATACTGTCCCTCGAATGTCCCTGACATCTGGCAATGTGACGTCCTTTCGCTTACTATCTGTCGGTGGGCGGACAGAGAGGAAAATATTAATTCAGCGACCAGGGAAAAATCCTCAGTGACTACAAAAAAAACTAACATGAAATTTTCATTAAAAATGTAATTGGGATTTTATTTGTTTTCCCTTCTCTGACGGCTTTTTTGCACTCTCATTCCCATGGGCTTTTTCTCTATTTTATTAATATTTCAAGTGAAAATTGGAATAATTTCTCTTTTTTTCCACCCACTCTCCCAACTATAATTCCCACCCCGCATGATTTTCTCCCTTGGTGCAATTTTTCCCCAATTGCATTTTCCCCACTTATTGTCCTCTGCTCTCGGGGCAAAAAAAAAATGCTTCACAATCAAATGCTCTCTCGGCGAAAAAAAAAGCGCCACCCTCCATCGTCCCAAAAGTGCGCCCAGATGGAAAATTAATGCAACAAAAAAGTCACAATGCACTGGCAATAATTCGCGCCAAAAAAAGAGATGGTTCAACCCAAAATGAAATGGTCAATGGGATGATGTGAAAGAGAACGGCAGACGGTGGAAAATCAGTCCCATTCTCCCCGCCAATTCCCCCCGTTTTCCCTTGGACAGAGAAAAAAAATGAGTTGAAACGTGGAGTGAAAAAATAATTTGGGATCTATATCGAGTCTTTTTTCAAGAAAAAGGACTTCCATCGCAGCACCAGAGAAACGCTCCCTGGAAGCATATTTTGCCGTCCAACCACGACCGTCTGGCGAGAAGATTGCTGCAATTGCTGAAAAATTGGACTTGAAGAAGAATGTGGTACGTGTGTGGTTTTGCAATCAGCGACAAAAACAAAAACGTATGAAATTTGCAGCTCAGCACTGACAACCAAATAATGCTGCAACACAACTGGGGATTGTAACAAGTGTGACTGCCTCAATGGCAGCAGCAGCAGCGGGTGGGGTTGTGGGTGGTGGTGTGCCTGGAAGTGGTTCCGTCACGGGATTTGGTTTCTAGAGAGGAAACTCCCTCTGTAGAAAGACACTTTTCGACTTGAGTTTCCATCCAGAGAGCTTTCGCGCTCTGCTTCTTGCATTTTCCCGCAATTTTTCTGTTTTATACATGAGCCTTACGTTTTCAATTCAAATCTCCACACAAAATGTTAATTTTTTCTTCTTAAAAACTCTGAGAAAACAATTGACAAGCCACCACCATTCACAAGTTACTAGTCTTGATGAAAGTATGCAAGGAATGTGAAAAATATTTTGTGCAATTGACGTGAACTGAGAAATTCGATTTTATTGGTTTTTCTTATTACCAAAGTTCGTATTTTGAATTTCCTAAGTTTTGCAGAAAGTTAAGATTTTCTACAAAAGTATTAATTTAAGAGAAAAAAATGTGCAATATTTGAGGTGAAATTGTGAGACATTCAATTGAAGGAGAAAACGTAGAATAAAGAAAGAAAAAAAAAACATTTTTCATATAAAATTATTGTAACTCAAGTAGTAAAAGACAGTAGAAATATAGAGAAAAATGCTGAAATATCTTGTAAATATTGGATAAGGATAAGAAAGGATGAATTGCTGTTATATTTGTAAATAGACAAATCTGGGTAAATAAGGAGAAATTTTATTTCATTCAACCTCAGACCAATAATTTAATATATGGCTGTGGGTAATATGATAAAAAATTAACTGTAACGATATTAAGATTTAATTATTGAATTCATTCCTTAGATGAAAGATTGTAACAGTTCAATATTAGCCATTCTCCCTGCTTATCAATGATATTATTAGAATGAAAGACATAATTTTAAACCACCCAATCAAGTGCGGTGGGCGGAAATAAGTAAAGAGAAACCAAATTTCATTGAACTTTATTTCAAAGAGAAATTAATCCTGTATATAAAATTAACTGTATGAGTCGAAGCGAAGACTATGTAAGAAAAAAATAGATATCATTTTAAGGTGATTACTTAAGAAATAGAGAAAGTCTTACTGATCGAAGAAAAATGTGTAAAAAGCAATATAATAAAGCGGAAGAGGTGACCAAAGTGGAGACACATTCTTCATTACAACAGAATAAATTACGCTTCAATTTGATTTTAGTTTCCAAAAATCAATTTTCCATGCCAGATGAATAAAAAAAACCTTTCTCGCTCTCTTGGCTCGCGAGAGGATAAAAAAATGCTTTTAATTGAAATTATGACACACTGAATATTTAAATCAATTGCTACATTAATTAAATTATTTATATATGTATCAATACAGTGAAGCAGAGAGAGAATCAATTAGCTTTAATTACAAAATCGTTTAATTTACTAATTAATTTCACTATCCTCTCCTCCTGATTTATCCCTCCCAAAATGGCCACTCTATAGACAAATATAGGAAAAAAGTCGGCAAATTTGCCAATTTCAATCAATGTACAGATTTTTCAAATACACAAAACAGGGTAAAAGAGTTCTCTCTCTGTCATGTTGAAATACACATTTTGTATACCTCACTTTCACATTCCCATAAGACAGGTGGAAAAAATAGTGTCAAAACAGCGACCAGCAGTTTTTAGATTCACGATAAAATGTACACAGGTAAAGGAATAAATGAACAAGGGACGGAAGGAAAACTGCAGAATTACATAAACAAATAATAAAATTAAATGAATGACAGTGTAATTGCTGTATCAACCATAAATATAGGTAAAAAGAAGTCATCAATTAAGCCAATAGATTAATTAATTATCTAATTGTTTACGCATAATTAATTCACATGGAAAGTTCGCGCTCATGAGAAATAGAGATCAAAGAATAATAGACCAAAATTTTCTTTCTTCCTCAACTTGACCACGAAAAGTGGACAATTTTTCCTTTATCAGCTTAACTCACAGTAACATATCATAGTCTTAAAGAGCTTTTTCGCTTTACGTTGATATTGAAGACGAATGAAGGATAAAAGGATAGAAAGGAATTTCTGTTTTTTATGTAAAGAAAACATGAGGGATGCTTGTCTAAGAGAAATGTCTCTGGACACACTGTAAAAATTCTATATGTCATAGTTTTTTCATTGACACAATTTCGATAAAAAGTTATTTTGTGTTTTCAATCGAAAAGGGGAATATTATGTAATTAGGGATTTAAATTTTATTCATTAAACTTTAAGAAAGAAAGATAGAATGAATGGTGAGAAGATAACGGAGGACAAAATATAGAATCAGCCAAATATGAATCATATGTATTTTTCTTCTTCTCGAGGACTGTCTCATCTTCACCACTCACTTTTACGGACTCACGAGGGGTCGATGAGGGATGATAGAGCCGAGGAATGAAGGAAAATAAAGCAAAAATTGTTCACGGACAGAGATAATATCCACTCTTAAGGAAATAGGTTTACTTATATCCTTTTCACCGTTGTAAGTCTGTTTATTTGATTCTCCTCCCTTTTTTCCACCCCGTCATCTCCCATGTGGCATCATGTACTGTAAATTGTATTTATTTATTCATTACTGGCGAATGGTGGGCAGCCGTGAGGGTGAGAGCTTGAGAATGGAAGCGAAGATGAGGGGCTAACAGGACCCTCTCTCGTGTGTTTGTCTACCATCCCATGAAAATGCGCTACACAGGATCATTTTCATCCTCACACCCCGAATGTCGGTCTCATCTCACTGTCCCTCTTTATAATTTTCCCCTTTTTTCACCTTCTGTACAATTTTTATTCTCTCTCCAGCCCTAATTCACATATTTTCTGTGTGACTTATTTTCTCTGAAGTTAGTTCAAGTGTTAGTCTATTTGGCGGCCTGTTAATTTCTGTTGTCACACAGTTTATCCAGAGACCCCAAACAGATTTGAGTAAGTATTTTCCTTCTGACTTGTACAAATTCTAAGAAAATGGTTAATTTATTGGAGTCTCTTATTCAGCATTCCAGAAGGAGGTTCAAAGGGATGAAGTGATGAGGAAAAAGTGTGGCAGTTGAAGGGATAGAAATGGTCAGTTTGATATATGTGATGCGGTTTTGCATACACATTAGAAATTTAACTATGAATAATGAATTTCGCATTTACGAAAGATGTAGCACACATTTTGCCCTACACCTTTCTGCCCATTTTGTCTTCATTTTGACTCTTGGCTATCAACCTGAGGAGAATCACGCCATATATCAGTGCTGTGCCAGGCCAAGAATGTTATTTATGCAAACCGAAAATACCGCAGATTTTTTTCCACCTCCCTAGAACTGCCCCTAACACAGGGAGAGGGTACTTTTACAGTATACAACATCCACAAGGAATTTTAGGGCTGCAAAAGAGGTTTTTAGCTTTCAGGCGAAGGAGAGAAAATCTAATTGAATCCTTGGGAGACACGATTAATTGCAATATTGCGACACTTTAATGGTCGTCGTGGGGACAATTCAGAGGGATGAAATTGACATGAAAAATACTCCAAATTTCTCCACTTTATCCTTCTCAACGAATCACACGGGGACACTTAAGAGGTGTGTAAATTTTCTGACTTACACGATAATTTATCGAGAGAAAAGAAGGTAGTTTTTGAATAGAATTCCCTCTTGTTGGGATGCCTAAACTGGGCGTTCAAAGCAGGAATAATTTACTGGAACATTCAGCCCATTCAACCCCCCTAAAAAATAGTTGAAACAATGCCAGGAAAAAGACCCAGAGGAAGTAATTTTGGAAACATGTCTCCCAGTCTATTGGGAGTAGAAAAGCCGCGAATAATTTTCTATTGGTTGGTGGTGAATTAATAAATTTACATTGTTCCCACTCTGTGTCAATGGGATTTCCCTGGAGGGTGAAAGGAGTCCTGTACTCCCCCTCTCCGCCCCCATGTGCACAATAGGAAAATTTCATTGCATATAATATAGCAAATGCCCATGTCGCATTCATTGATAACACAATATATCCATTGTGTGGCCTCTTTCATGCCACACACCCGCCGCCACCCACCGAAATCCACCCCTGTTTTGCAATCACTTCCCACATATGCAATTCAAACAATTGAACTCTCTGTCCCACACTTCCTTGGGGACCATCCCTGCGCCAAAACAATATTGAAAGCTCGGTTTTGTGAGCTTGAGCCACCACCGCCACATTTTCATCTATGCACCACAGAACAAACATATAGAGACTTATGTGCACACATCGCTTCCGTATCCCATTACATTTATGCAGCAGAGCTGCAAAATGTGCGAGGGAAAGAGGGCAAAAGCAGGAAAATATTTAATCACGGAAGTTTCCTCTGCTTTTCCGTCTGACGTCTCTTCAAAGCACTGACTTCTATTCTGAAACCAAAAGGATTATGACTTTTATCTAATCTACCCTTTGAGGCTTGTCAAAGAATTACTCCATATTCGCCACACATTAAATACATTGTGAAAAACTCAACAATTGCGAAGAATTCTTCTATAAACTCTGAATATTTCTCTCATCTTGGGCGCTATTTATGTGCATTTCAGCCAACAAAAGACCCTTCGAAAGAACAAAAATTCCCTTCAAAATTGAAACATAAAGATTCAGTGAAAAAAAGCACTTAATGAGATAATAAAAGTGTGTTTGGACGGAGGGATAGAGAGTAAATTCTGTGGAAGCGAAATTCCCGGATTAATTTCACTTGTCTTCACTCACCAATTAGGATTTCAAATTGACAAAAGCAAGACACTGTCGAGGAGAAAAAAAACCCTCCCTCTGTCCCTATAATGACGCAAGACAAAAAAAGGAATAGAGAATTTTTCCAGTGAAAAGTGCCTGCGAGACACGGAGCAACAGAAGGAAAAAAAAAGTTTATTTCCACGAAGGGGAGGAAATCCACGTGGGTGTGGAATTTTTAATTTCTCCCCGGACAATGAAGACATGCAATATTGCAAGGAGAAGTGCAGCAATTCCGCAGAGTCTTTGGAGT